CTTCAAGTCGTGCTAACTAAACAATGAACACTTTGTTCATTACACAGCTCCAAAGTAGAGCATTATTGATAATTAACGAGTTGTCGATATGTAATTTCTCTTAAATTCAATATAGTACTCTGGTTTAACAACAGACAAACAAATATTTATTTTAATGTAAGTGCACTAATCTTTTATTCAACAATTATAACATTTTCGCGAGATTATTTCATTATATTCAGTTATTACAATCAATATCACCGTCATTCTATACATTCACCTACTTTCTCGAAAAATAATTATTTTTGTTTCTAGTGCTGTAGTTTTATGTACTATAGTGTTCTTCACAAAAGAATATGAAACAATAAGCTCCTCGACTAATCCGTATCAATAAATTTAACATAGCAATAAGTCTTGAAAGACATTTCTAGCAAATAATCGAAATGCTTCTGTGATATTACTTATACTTGGAAACGGGAATCATTACGATTCCCATAACACAAAGTGATAACATAGAACTGGTACGAGTGAAAATTAATTGACTCTGCAAAAACACGTCTTCCACACAAGTCATCCAAAATCACATCATCACTAAACCAAATACATTCATTCATACACTGATTTTGCATACACTTGATGATTCTAATGAATTTTGGTTCTCTGAACTGGATGGTTTGGTCGTAGAGCTTGCATTATGACTTCACTTTTATCTGAAGTTTGTGCTGATGATGTCGTTCAGAATAACGATGAAATCTCCACGACCAAACCATCCAACTCAGAGAACAAGACTCTATCGAAATCATCCACCTGAGCTATAAATCTTCTCTATCCTCTCACTTGATGGCTCGATAGTGAACATCATATATATGAAGATATGCACCAGGTTACTAGTAAAATAGATACAAAATTCGTACAGAATGATATAAAAAATATAATTGTCACACTGGAAGGATGTTTACACCTGCCATACTTATCAAAATTGACACTTAATGATTACAAAACATAATAACTTGAGATTATGTCACACTGGAAAATATAGACTCACTATGATATTGACTAAATGTTACACATATGATGAAATCAATGTTGAATATCACGCTGATAAGAAACTAACATGATTTGTTACACTGAGTAAGAGCAATATGTAAACTTCTGTATTCCGACATATTGCCTTCATAAGTTTGTCAGTAATTTGCTTACTTTAAGTCTATCCTTGTGGGTCATTTGTTACGGAACCTTATGTTAAATTCTGGTTGTTTTTATGTTACCGATCACTAAGTTTCTTGTCTATTCTCAATGAAATGTAATCATCTTTTTCGAAACTCCATTTTCTTTCACAAAGTACAAAATTTAAAAACTGTAACGCAATAAAGTAAATGTGTATGATTTCATTGATCAATATGACTGTTATTATAATTCATCAGTTCACTAGTTATTCTACAGTGCTTACACTAATTATTAAAACAAAATACTATTTTATTTCGCAAAAATATCTTCACTACCTGTATATGATGTCTTAAAATTAATTATTTAATTGTTTATTGTTAAATTATAGCAATTGAAGAAATTCTCTTATGCACTACTTCAGTTGATTATAACCCTTTACATCAAACAAGTCAAATGACTCAATCTCAAACAATGTTGAATAATGACTTATCAAATGGTATGATTCCACGTCCATACAATTCTCATTCAGAAAACCATGATGTAGTTCAGAGTAATATTAAACAGCGATATTCACAACAATTTTCACATACTCCAAAGTTGCATCGACGAATGGTATCTTTACCAAATGATAATAGTGTACAGTTAGTCAGTCAATCCCTGTCTGACGGTAGTGTACACCTGGCATCTTTTAGTGTTCGTAAGTTGAATTCTACTTTGTAGATATTTTTTTGATATCTAAACTAATCATAACTTCACATGTAGCTCTTCTAAAACTATTGCCAGTTCCAAGCCCACACAAAGGAGGAGGGTTGGGCGTGTAGTTGACAATCCCATACCGTAGAAAGCAACATTGTTAAGAAAAATGCTAAACAAATTAAACCATTTAAACTCTGTCCTCCTAATTGAAGGAAGAATCATGACGCCTCATGATGACATTCGAAACCGATGCCCATTCTAACAACCAGAGCAAACATTTTTATCGGTACATAGAACGTCCGGACAATGTGGAAGACCGGGAGGATCAGTCAAATAGAAACGGAAATGAGGAGATACAAATTGGTGCTTCTCGGAATCAACGAAACCCATTAAACTCAAGCTGAACAGAAAAGGCTAGATACGGGAGGGATGCTTCTATATTCCAGTCATGAAGAGGAAAATGCACTAAACACTCAGGGAGTTGCTTTGATTCTGGCCAACAAAGAACGAGACACACTTATATGATGGAAATCTCATGGACCCAGGATCATCAAAGCATCATTCAAAACAAAGAAAGAGAAAATCAGAATGAATGTTATCCAATGTTATGCACTCACCAATAATAGCAATGACGACAATATAGATCCGAAGGACACCTCATCAAGATACCAAAGAAAGGAGATCTAATCAAATGTGAGAACTACAGAAGCATTACACTACCGTCAGTCCCCAGAAAACGTTTTCAACAGAGTGTTGCTGAACCGGTTAAAAGACGCCGTAGACGCAAAAGTACAAGATCAACAGGCTGATCTCCGTAAGGGTCAGTTGTGCACAGACCAAGTTGCGATACTACGGATCATCGTTGAACAATTAATTGAATGGAACTCGTCACTACACATCAACTTCATTGACTATGAGAAGACGTTTGGCAGTGTGGATAGGAGAACGTTATGGAAACTTCTTAGACACTATGGTGTACCTGAGAAGATCGTCAACATCATACGGAATTTATACGACGGAGTTTCAGTGCAAAGTGATGCATGGAGGATAGCTGACAGACGCATTCCAAGTGAGGACCGGAGTTAGACAAGATTGCTTATGACGTGGCTCTTCTATCCCACACACACACACGAACAAATGCAGATGAAGACAGCCAGTGTAGTGGCAGCAATCTCTGCACCAGAAGGCCTCGTCATACACAAGGGAGGAAGCAAGATCCTCAAATACAACACAGAGAACATCAATCCAATCACATTTGATGGAGAATACGTGGAAGAGATGGAAACTTTCACGTATCTGGGAAGCATCATCGATGAAAAAGGAGGATCTGATGCAGACGTAAAGGCGAGGATTGGCAAAGCAAAGAGAGCATTCCTACAAGTGAAGAACTTATGGAACTCAAAACAACTGTCAACCAGTATCAAAGTAAGAGTCTTCAATACGAACGTTGAGACAGTCCCACTGTACGAAGACGAAATTTGGAGAACTACTACAACCATCATCAAAAAGGTACAAGTATTAGTAATCAATTGTCTACGTCAGATACTCAATATCGTTGACCGAATACCATCAGCAACAGCCTACTGTGGGAGATAATAAACCAACTTCCATCTGAAAACGAAATTAGAAAAAAATGATGGAAGTGGATGGGAGATAAATTGTGGAGGTCATCAAATCGTATCACGATGAAATCGCTAAATTGGAATCCTGAAGGGGAATGGAAAAGTGGTAGGCCTAAGAACACACAATGAGTCAGGAATTGGAAGCAGACATGAAAAGGATGAATAGCAACTGGAAAGGACTGCTGAGGACAGGGTTGGATGGAAAATGCTGGTAGGCGTCCTATGCTTCTCCACAATCAGTAATAGGCTTAAGTTAGTGAGTAAACTGGTTATATCTAGACAATTGTTAAAATTTTCGGAATATTGAACAACGTACCAACTCTTAATATTTCTTTCTTCATTATATATATATATATATATATATATATATATATATATATATATATATATATATATATATATATATTCGTAACGTTCAATTCATTCCTCGTCATAGCATTTCATCAATACAGATGAGTGATATGATTTGATGTAAGTTTAATCAGGGGTCAAATTTTTCGTGATTTTTTACGTAATTTTGTCCTGGGTTGTCTTATTTTTTACTGACTGGAAAGTGTGCAAACTACCTCTTCGCAAATAATCAACACTATCGAACATTCTCTCGCTATTCTTAGAGAGTTAGCTAGTTAATTTTTAAGAGTTGTATTTTTTTAAGGATATATTTTTCAAACAACAAGCTATTTTCAAAAAGTGATTTAGCAGATAGTATAGATATACGAACTGTTATGTTTGGGGATTTGAAGGTTTTCTCACTCTTTTCGTGATTGAAAATAGCTGAAGTGTGTAGACAGAAATTAAAACAGAAGTGTCTTATCATACATATTAGATGGCTACATATTTTTCCCTAATATCACGTTTACATTCACAAATGTTTGTTTGATTTTTCATTAGTTGTTTAGTTGTCTTAACACATTATGTGCAGGCAGTTCTGACCTAAACTTAGTTTGTCACAATTAGTTTATTTCTTTACAACTGTTTGTCTTGTTTATTCTCTTTGGTCCCAATAATTATAGTACTAATATTGATTGTTCGCTGTAATTATTTTCCCCCATGAATGCTAACTTTTATTAACGATAGCTACGCCAACAGTTGTTTTTTTGCACTGGGCGTACTTACGCAATTTTCATAGAAAAATGTCATAAATTCAAACGATTCATTGCAGAAGCATAATATTTTAGCAATTTAAAAGTTCTCATAGAATGTTTGAGACCAAACAGCACCAAATCAAGTGACAGCTATCGATAACTTCTTCAAGTAGCTCTACTGTTATGCATCAAATTATTATTATTATTGTGTTACAATTAACAAAATATTAAAGTTGAATTAATCCATGTTCTAAATTAAAGTTGGTAAATTTCACATCGATATTAAAAATATATTAAAAAATATTCAATAAAATAGAGTCAATAGAAATGCTAAGATGAGATCACACATAACGGTCAAAACAATTATGTGCTTTCGGGTGATCACTTGTGATCGATAGATTAAAATTATATGTAGGAATTATTGTACTGTTGTTGTGATTATAATAGTAATCATAATAATAATAAAAATAATTATTATTATCATTAATGATTTTAGCTTTTATTAGTAAGAATATCATGTGAATAGGACGAATGTATAGTCAAGGTTAAGTAAAAAATATCTTACAAGGGAGTACATATCACGATGAAAGGTATGCAACAAAACTAAAGCAGCAAATTCATGGATGTGTGTTTACTATGGTGACCGTCCAAATCCAAACTATTGATCTATATGAAATCCTGTATTATTTGCACACTATTATGTTTAATAAAAAGTATCTTAGTAAACTGTCTTAGATTCTGTTGACAGTATGCACATAGGTTTCTAGCTAAATTGTATCACTCTGATTTGTTATCAAAGGTTAGGTAAATAATTAAATGAAATTATGTGATAAATTTCACATCATAAACTGTTTTTGGTTAGGAAAATCTCGGAAGTACTGAACAGTTATTTTCCTCTAGTATAAGATTCCTCAGCAGTATTTTTGAACGATTGTATATAACGTTGTTTTGAATGAGAATATAAAATGAATTAACAGAAATTTCATTATTACTCAGTCATACTGTAGGGAACGAAGACTTGGTGGGGACAACCAATTTATTTAGTTCAAAACTACAAAGTTTCTTAGTAAATTATGAAAACTCTACACTACTTATTCCATTTGCACATCTTCCATCAGTTTCTCTTTACATACCTTATAATTCTCATAATGCTCAATTCTTTTATGTTTCCCTACCTATTCAGTTCAATCTTCTCAACCTTCTTTTGACAGACATTCCACATCTGATCAGTGTTACCCACTTCTAATATCCGTCAACATAATTAGCATACTCTACAATACCACTACTACTGGTACAAAATATATACATAATTTCACAATTTAGCAAATTGTTAAAGCTAGACATAGACACCGTTGGATGCTAGGTCAGTAGTCTAGAAGTTAGGCGTTCGTGCGTGAGAATAAGGGTCTTGGGTTCGATATCTAGATGCAGGGTCGTGAATGTGTATTGCTGAGGAGTCTTATACTAACACAAAACATCTATCCAGTGCCTTCATGTTCTCAATGGTTGTTTAACGAAGATAAGTTCGTGATCTGAACCATGAAAATTTGTCACGTAGTTTGCAAAAAATATCTGAGACTCAGCGGACTACAGAATTAATAATTCAGGATTAAATTTCTGAAACTCAAATCATTACTTGTCCACTGAAACTGTTTGGTTAACGACGCGTGAATCATTGATTATTTGTTAATCTATACAGTAATAAAGTTCTTGTTTTTCTGTACACTGACCACAAACATCTGATATCAAAACAGATTACAAAACATAATATCACTCCATATATAGTATTTATCACATTACTAATCACCTAAAATCGATGTAACTCTTATAGGTTAAAGATCATTGGTTACAATTGATTGATCACTGGGTGGTGATCAATGTCTTGCTTGTCTACTCCTTATTAGTGCAGAACGAATGCTATCGATCATGTTGCAATGTGGCCACCACCATCTAAATCATTGGTTACAATTAGAGATGGGTCTTTGTGGAGATTGTAGTAATTTAATGAATAAATTCATGAGTCAATTGAAGCTAGACCACCATTGAAAAGCTGGTCACTGGACTGCCGTTTCACTCTAGTATGGTACTCTTCAGCAGTGCGCATCCACGATTCTGCCTCGCGAGATTCGAACCCAGGACCTCTCAGTCTCACGTGCGAACGCTTAACCTGTAGACCACTGAGCGAGCATCCAACGGTGTTAATGTCTAACATCTCTGTTACTGATTTTTTATCCTATAGAGTTTAAATTACATTCTTACAGTAGCCTTTTGACAATATTTTTTTAAATTAGGGATTTACCTAATTATAAATTAAAACGAAACACATTCATGTATAATTTTTTTTAAAAAGAACGTTTAGATATATTTTATTTTCAATTGTTGATAATTATCATACCAAATTTCATATTTTCATCTTGTATAATTACAAATATCTGACATTACAATGTCAATTGTTATATATATATATATATATATATATATATATATATATATATCATTCTCCCGGTATGAGTGTTATGGTGTTACTATTGTGGTTGTTGCATCTTTATTTATTTAACTCTTTTTTTTACTTTTTAGCCTCTGACTCAGAAAGTGAACTCACATCGAATTCACATTCAACTGAACAATTAAGTTATACTAAATTTACTAATGTAACAAATAATTCACAACAAGTAAGTGATAATAAAGTTGAATTTATTGTAAATGCAATAATAATTTTACATTAATCATGCATAAAAGACTGATTATAGTCAGTATATTGATTGTCTGAATGCTCATGTATTCACAATGTTAACTCAACATTAAATGTTCCATATATTACACCACAAATTATGAGCATTCGTATTTTACACATCCTTGCTTCATTTTATATTAGTAATTGATATTTACTTTGACCATACTATATATTCTTCACTTTAATCCCTTAGAATAAATTATTTAACATTACAAATGAACATCTTTTTAGTGATTAATAACTGATGCTTTATTCTACTTCAGAACTTGTGGAATAATGTTAAAGATGTTCTTCGCAACTTTTTTTCACCTAAGTTTTATCTTAACATGAAAGTAAATAGTAGTTATTTGTTCATTAGTGATTAACTTCAATACGCCGTTCCAGTAATTCTAGTGAGAAGCTGTGAGAAGTAGGATTCGAATATATCGAATGTAAGACAGTTATCCATAGTACGTAATGGAAAATGGTCTCTCAATATCGTGAATTAATTGAAGTCAGACACGCACATCAATGCGTTGAAATTTAGCGGTCTAAATGTTAGGCGTTCTCTCGCGAGACCTATGGTCCTAGATTTGACTTCCTATAGTAGAGTCGCTTATTAACCTTGACCTTTTCTATATGAGCATATGAGTGTACATTGCTTACCCTACTTATCACATGTCTTTAGTTCATTTTTGTCTGACTATAAATATCGAGTCACACTTGATCAGATCACATGCATTCTCTGCTCTGTTCCTTTCTTCGCTTTTCCACTTCTTATTCTGAATCTCTTTTTGGGAAGAAAAATACTCGGAATAATTTCATCCAACGCGACCCGTATTTGACTTCTTACAACCGCCGTTACACAAACAGGTTTATCCTAGTTAATATACGGAATTAAATGAAAATTTTGTGTCTATAGCATATTCATACGTTCATCGAAATTGGAGTCAGTTCATCAGACCACAAAAAATCCAACAGTCTTTAAATTCTGTCTTGTGGTTTCTAAATTTTCACTGAGATTTGAATTCTATTCTCAATACGACTATTTGTCATTTCCGTTTCTTGTTACTTTTGCAAATTTACTAAATTTTAAGGATCGAATTAATAAATTTGATCACCTTACGGGGTATATATGATTCTATCTTTAATCTTTTTCTTTTTCCATACCATCATCATTTTACTACTAAACATAAAATTACTTTGTTCTATATAATTAATTAGCTTATAATTCCCTACTGTATCAGATTATTATTATTCACTAAAGTGAAGAATATCATTTTTGTCTATGATTAGCTACATTTATGTGTTCGTCTGGCTTACATTTCTGTTGATAATCCATTATTACAATTTTTGTCATTACACTCACTCCTTAATATTTTAACAGGAAAGTCGCCTTGAATCTATCCATGACTAAAAAGCAATATATTTCCTTGAGTTAAATAGCATACAATGATTTTGGAGCTGAGACCGAAACTCAACACATTGGATATATCGGTGTCCAATAACATTCATATGTTATCTATAAGTATTCAGGTTATATCTCGCTTATTTGCTGCACTACAGGAAATTGAAGAAATCGATCCTAAAATTAATACTTGTTCTACTCGTGTAATTTTTCCGCTTACAAAATCAAATATATTTTTTTGATAACTTTATCCAATTGATGATAAGCAAATACTCTGTTCTTTCAGATAAATCGGTACATCAAAGATAATTGTCTGATGTTATGATTAAATCGTTCATTCATGTTAGTATAGCTTGAAAATCTGCAGAATTTCTTTGTTAAAATATTTCATTATGTTCTCAGATAGTAAACACAAAATTTATTTTCACATATATCCTCTTGATTGTTTTGCTTAACTATTTATCTTACTAAGTAGATTAAACTTCTGATCAAATTATTGTTTAGTATTAATTAATGCAATACCAGATTTAAATTTTTGTATAATACAACAGAATTTCGAATAGTCTTCTACAATCTGTGTCTGTAGAGTTACGCTAACTCGGTGAAATAATAGCTAGTAATATCATGCCCTGGTTCTATAAATAATTTTTAGACTCAATAATCCCTGATATTATTTTCCATAATGCCAATCAAGTCTTCCTGATTTGACCATCTAGCTCAAAAAAACTCGGGAACGCTGGAAGTATTCACTTAAACTGCAAATTTTCTACATCATTTCAGACATTCTTGTAGTATTGTTTTTTTGGGGGGATTTGGTTTTCATTATTGTTAACCAAAGTTACTGGATTTACGCTACACTTTCACAAAAACTTGAAGCTTAACGTTATAAAATCTGCGAGCATATTACTTGGTTGTCGAGTTTAGTCAACAGATGTTAAGTTCTTACCTTTAATGATGATCATGATTACTTTTTTAATTTAAGTCTTCGTATAACCTGTGCATTTTTCTGACTGGTAATAACCACTTTGTTTTTCCACGTGTTTCAAGGTTATGTTTTGGTTACTATTTGTACAGAGTTCTGTTCCAATTTTTCCTCAGTAAATATCTTTTTTTCTGTACTAATACTGCTTTCTTTCTCGGTTCCATGTTCGGAGATTATTATTAGTGTTATGTGTCAGTTACTGTAACATCGAGTTTACGTACTTCAACTAATTTTTACTGTTCATAAACAGTGATTGTCATACTCCCAACTGAAATCTTATCGTAATTGCTTATCAAATTTTAGCACTTTTTCATTGATAATTATAGATTTTTAGACTATTAAGTTATATACAACGTAGAGCATAACATATATATACGTCTTTTCGATTTCGCATACCATATTGGCACAGCAAGATAAAATTCTCAAAACAGATTCAATAGCAGGTGTCAAGTTCTAGTGTAACAAAAATCATTTTGAACACCTAAAGTTATTGAATCATTAGTCACATTAAAGTTTACTTATCACTCTAGTTGTTGTAATCTTCAGTGACACAGATAGAGGAGTTATGATAAATACTTGAATTGGACGAGAAATATATGTACGATGTTTTTAACATGGAAAGTCAATATCTTTAAGAATGTTGTACCAGTTTTTGAATAATATCACGTAAAGAACCAACTAGGCATTTAGACTCGCTTTAACCTCCCTGAGAAATTTAATAGATTGATGTTCAGAGACTAACTATCGTTATAACATTTGAATAAAGTTGTCTCAATATTCTATTTGCAAGTAAGTAATAATTCATTTCCTAGTTTTACCGTATTCACATCCCATTAATAAATCAAAACCCTAACTCCTCGTTATTGGTCAGCGTAACCATTATTTTGAGGCAGTTCTCTTGAGGAACTGTGGCCAGTTGAGGTCATCCATGTCGATACAAACAGTAGTTACCAATTTCATTTTATGATCGTTGTGCTAGATTGGCGATTAATCGGTGTTGAAAATGCGAATCATTGGATTACAACTGCTTGACTCATATGTTTAGTTCTTGCCTTGAGATTTGCAGGTTCTGCTTTCGTTCATTCAGAATTCGTAGGTGAATAACCAGAGATCTCACGCTAGAACGAAACACCTGTCCAGCACTCTTTGGTTTTCAATAATACCGCAGTTAATGTCAGTTCGTGACAAATATCACTTGATATTACTGTTACGTTTTGTTCAGACTTAGTTTATCAATAGTTTTTTTCGTTGATTCCTTAGATTCACTGTTTCTTTGTTATTTTTATCTTTAATGTCATTTAAATTTTATTTTTGATGTCAATAATTTAAAGTAATCCTTAATAAATATAGAACCACTTAGATATATAGTTGCGTATTTGAATATCAGACGTTATTTCACTTTATATTCATTTTATTCGAATGGCATTATTAACCCATCATACTTCCTGTTCTCATTCGAGTTAATATCAGGTATTTATTTGAGCAATAATCAGGCATGTGTCACATTTAACTCATTTGTATACTTTATTCCATATTCACAATCACATCAATTGGCTTACTCTCTTGCTTTGAAATGCTATGCCTCGGATTAGTACATCCTATTTTTTCTCTGTAAATACCATATCTACGATAATTTCCATAGCTTATCTGGTTTACAGAACAGATATGTCACGGTTAGAATGTCCTAGTGAACAGATCATAAAGTGTCTACACTTTTTTTTGCTGTCCACTCACTTTCTCCCGGTTACAATACCATCATGTGATAACGGTAAGAATCATTAGTATGTGACTTATTGAATTAAAAAGTCTACTCTTATACTCTTAATTACTAGTTCAAGTCCTTCTTTATCTGGTTTGTTTAAATTAGCTGAATAATGTCATCAGTCATGAACTTATAAATGTCATTGATAGTCAAAAATGAAAAAAACTATATGATTATTTGATTGTGTTTTTCTTTGTATAATTGTAACATCACGTTGCTACAATGAGGTTCTCCTCTTTAATATTTTCACTTTTTTATGTTAACTACTCAATATTTAGTCCTCTGACAATGCAAATCCCAGGAAAGTACATTTACCAGTAGAGGCAACATGTAATTTCAGGCCTACAAAATGTAATTGTGATCCTTCAGCATTCGTTAAACGTAATGGAATACCTATGGATTCAGGCACATCATCAATAATAACAACAACAAATTGTGCTACTGCTAGTACTTTTGACACTATCCCTGCAAACACTAATATTGCTGATATATCTAGAAATAAGGGAGATGATTTGGACAAATTCACCAATCATAATCAACTATCTGACGTAAATACAGATGATGATGATCATAATCATTGTAATTTTACCGGTAATCAACATGGTGTTAAGAAATCCAAAAAGTGGAAAGTTGGACCTAATGGCCTCCGTGTTCTATCACTTGATGGTGGTGGTATGCGTGGATTAGTGATCGTACAATTACTTCGTGCTTTAGAAATAGCATCTGGAAAGAAAATTACAGAATTATTTGATTGGATCATTGGTAACGTTTTCCATCATCACTAATATTTGTTTATTTATTTCTTATTGATTATGATTATTATTGATTCCTAAAGGTCATTTGAAACGGATGTTTCAGATATAGTCAACTTAGAGTATGATATGGATTCAAGTTGGCTAAAGTTGTTATCTTACATCAGCATAACAAAATTAACTTAGTAAGATTAATGAGAAAGTCTGAATAATCTTGTAGCAATGATAATAACAAAGACTTAATATTGAAAACATGGTCCTAAAAGAAAGGACATTACAGTTCAAGATCTAGAGGAAAGTGAAGAGTGGATCCGTCCAGGTCACTGTGATCGATTCTAAGTCACATCACCTAACGTCTCCATCCACTGGTCATAATAATCGTGTGAATCATGAACTCTTAAGTGCCTCAGCTCAATTTTCAATGTCTTATGGACTAATTATATTTTTTGGATTAATCGTTCCGTTTTTTTCAAACTTACTCCTACTCTAACTAACAGTTCACGTTAAACACAGGAGGTTCTTATGTATTTGTAATATATACGTCAGCTATTTCAATAGATAGTGATTCACTTAACTCATCAGCTGATTTTTTTAATCGTTACTTAGTATGTATGCTGTTAATAATTATCAAAGTAGATCCCGCTAACTAATAAACAAAAGATATTCTAGCTGTATCACGAACTTGTTAAAGTTTTTAAGTATTTACTTTGCCATTCCAAATGATACACTTAATTGTGTAACATAAGTGATATGATTATTTCAATATTTGTCTTCATAATTTTAAACAGATTTATTACTTAACATTTTAAGAATATTGTTAGAATAAATTCAAACAATCATTTTATTGTTAATTAAAAATTTCCTGATTAATTAATTCAATGTTTTGTTATAAAATTACCATAGTTTTGGAGGCACTTTAAAAAAAATGTCACGAAAATATATAGTTGATTATAGGAATTATTAACACTAATGGCAAGTATATATTTTTTTAAAATCTTTCCACGTGAATGTAGAGTGTGTATTAAACTGAACCGTTATTCAGTATTGTTACTTTCTGCCAAATTTTTATAGTTATTTGTAATTAGTTTTTGTTCACATCTTTTGTTGTTGTTGTTGTCGTCGTCTACATCACCATAAGTTAAGGTATTTTCTTATAAGAATTAGTATATAACATCCTGTCTAGTTTACATTTTTTTCACATTTAGAGTTTTCTACGCTTCAGTGAGTAATTAATCACAATGTAGTAAAGTGAAATATCGTAAGTTTAAGTCTCGTTTGAAACACTAACATATTAGTATAGAAAAATGTGCTTAAAATTTAGCAGATCAATTTTATTCGGATAATCTATTGTTCCGTTAAGAACATATCTCTGAGAAAAAGAACGCGGACGGTCTCATAAAAGCTGTTTACATCAGTAAATAGTTTGTCATTTAAACAACTACGTTTTACAACTAAACAATCTTAATCACTAGTAGATTGTTGTTTTTCAAAGAACATTCATATTCATCTTATGATTTATGTTTAATAATAATAATGATAGTCGCCATAGTAAAATTTTATCATTGAAATGTGTTGTTTTCGTTTCACTTTCATGTGCTTACTATTTCACATGCTTTTATTGATACCAATTGCTCGCTTAGTGTCAATCATTATCATGTCACTGAATGACGCGAATCCTAATTGTACAGAGAGCAACATTCCATGCAGGATTGTAAAAGTGTGTGCCTTATTAATGAATGCTTACTATTACGAAATTTACTTTAAAGTTTTCTTACCGATTACCTCTAACCACTTAACAACATTTGATGCCATTTAAGTAGATAAATAAAGTATTATTTTCCTACATTATTCCAGAATGCGTACTAAGTTTACAGGCATGATTTGGGTGATACATAAAGCAATGTTACATGGTTAAATTGTCTGAAATAATGTAGTTCATAAATAGTTTCGGGAAATTCTTTACAAGGTGGAAGCAGAGTGAAACCATTAACTCTTAGTAGGTGTTGGGGATGCTAGATCCCCAGAAATCACTTGGTAAACATGTTATTTTTGGAAATTAGAACTTCTAGTTTTCACGCCATAAGCTTTCATTTTTACCTTCAGATTGTATTTCTGACTTGAAATGACCCTAAATGTCATTGGTTAGTTGTCTCTTTTAATATGCAATTTTGCGCCGTTCCCCCAATGACATTTTTATGCTATATATACTCTTGAGCTGTGTTTGTTTTTGTTCGTGCTTCTGGCTACTTGTGGAATACACTTTCCCTCATTTGAACCTGAACTTCTCCCTCTAGTTAGCAGGGATGGGACTCAATGGAATAGTTTAGCTGTCCTGTCACTGCATCACTGATCCTTCTTTGCGTTCGCTGATTTTTAGGTGAACTCGTAATCTCTTCAAACATACTAGTAGAGGGACTAAGATTATCTCTAGTGCCATTAAAGAGTAATTGCAACTAGAGAATAGAAAACACAGAATAATAGCAATAAAATTACTGTTACAGCTCTGCCGTTATACGAGTGCCAAGTCGTTTCATGACCTTCTGATTTGGATAGATACTATTTGAGTTAATTAAATTAACTGTGGATAGAGTAGATGTAAAATACCTGCAAGAAGGTAAACTTAGTAAGTATGCCCAGTAAAAACAGTGTTCAAACTTTTAATATCTCTATAATTTCACTTGTAGAATGGGCTACAGTCACAGACTCATTTTTAAATGAGTTTCGGATAGGAAGAGGTAACCATAAATTTCTCGAACAAATGTCGCTAGTGATCTTATTTTATGTGCAGTTTGGTGGCAAACTATTACAAAGTCTTGGAAGTTAACTTGTATAGTCATTGATACAGAGAGAAGACTTAGAATGAAACATTTTCACTTTCAATGTAGAGATAAAAATGCTGAAATTGGGTGTTTCGACATTTTGGATCGCAGCAGTGGCTGGAAGAGTTAGTTTTTTGGCATTTTGAAGAAACGATTACATTCGGCTTCCATATGAAGTCAGTTTCAAGCCTAATGTATCTGGATTTTCAGTTTGAAGTATAATTATCCCCAAGAATGTAAACTTTACATCGCCTCTTGACAAATCCCAACGTACGTTTATCGTTTTTGTTAACACTGCTCAGAACATAAAGGTGCAGTGTTCTACTTGTGGTCAGATACATATTTTGTACATTAAAATACGCAAGTCTTTGTTGTAAAGTTGTTATGTAGTATGCAATCCAAAAGTCGTCACAACTTGTTTTGTATGTGTGTTTGTCATTTTATGTTTATTTATTTATGTAATTTATCTTATAGGTACTTCAACTGGTGCAGCGATATCACTATTTCTAGTATCTGGCAAATGTTTACATTGTTGTCGTACATTATTATTTCGATTTAAAAATCTTGTCTTCTGTGGTAAACGACCATATCCACCGGAACCATTAGAAATGTTAATGCGTGATGAATTCGGTGATAATACTGTAATGACTGATTTAAAAACAGTCAGGTAATAAATACGCTGTGCTTTTATCGGTTTAATTGATAATATTGACTATTTTTTTAAAACCATATTTTAGCTAAGATTGATAGAAACGAACACCGGGTCAGAATAAAAGTAGTGTATAGACTGGAATCAGTACAAAACTATTACAATGACTGTATTTTTTATAACCTTTATTGTATTCGTTTGTTAATTAACAAATAAACCACTCATAGACTGTATTATTTTAATGAGGTTTTTTGCTTATAAAAATGATCATTTTGATTTCAGATTAATACATATAGAGTTAATACTACCTTGGAATTGTGGATGACAAACGACTTTATATATGGTCTTGGCTAGAACTTCCATCACTCAGATCAAACACAATACTGCTTAGTTATTTGAACATATTCCAGTTGGTTACATCTTGGAACTCTCTGATCAGTCGGAGAAATAATACAATTACTATTCCGTCTGTTCTCACCTTCACTTTGCTTGTTTATAATTTACCAATAGGCCCTAAATTTGATTTCGTATGCGATTGTCTATTCATTTTGGTGAGATGTACTCACGAATGTGATAGATAATTAACACTATCTAGTTTCGTATCTAGTTGTATTCATTCTATAATGGCAATTAATTTCTATTTGATTAGATCTTTGGCAGAACTATCCTGTTTATTTAATAATTCTATCTAAACAGTTAATTCCCTTGAGATTTAGTGTAGTTGTTCAAAAAAATACAAGTTCAGTTTATCTAGTCGTGAAATATGCACAAAAGAGATTTCATGATGCAGTCAACCATTGTGGACACGAATAAATTGTTATCTATGAAGTAAATGAACTGTTAAAGCTATGTATTAGCAATTGTACCAAGGACAGTTTGTAAATCAGTTAACAAAAAGTGTAATCAGACTGTATTCTTATTGAAATTTGATGTACTTGTTTTAAATTTACAATTTCATGGAGAATTGAAAGATATGAGATTAAATAACTGTCTCACACCCGATACAGATTAAACTCCACTAGACAATGATCATAAATATATCATTGTTTTATAACTAAAAGTAAGCTGTTTATTAAACAGCTAGTAATTTTACAACCTCTCTATAGAATTATTTTTCAGTTCTGTGATCAGATATGTCATGAACTTATAATACATTGAAATACGTTACTGTTTGGTTTAATATCTCTTACTAATCTCATTTGGATGTTTTTAGACAAACCAAGCATTAATTTCTCAATAAAACAGGTAGCATTGTTTTTCGTTAAGTTGTTCTGCATCGAAATAGTTTCTTCAAGTAATTTGCATATATTTATTCGTTCTAAAAATATTAGAGTTGCTGTAACTACACTTGTCAGTGATCGATGTCCACCAATATTGCATATGTTCAGAAATTATAAATCTCCCCGTACTCGAATACAACAAATTTTAGAAACACGTCAATCTGGATTAAAGTCTTCTGTGTATCAACGAACAAACAGAAGAAACAGCGGATTAACTCATCGTCAGTCTACTTCCGCCCTTGAGCTTGATCGTGAAAATCAATCTACAAAATCATCAACACTTTCAACTTCTCAATCTATTTTAAATTTTTTCTCAAATGCTCAGGGATTGTTAATAGGTAGTGAAACAAGTACCAACCTTTCAACATCTGACACTGAATTAAATAATCCGTTTGAACAACTGCCTGAAGATAATGAACATGTAAGTTTTTCTATTTCGTAATTATAAAAAAGCAAATAATGGCAAGAATTTTGATCATTTCAAAATGATAAAGATACGTTGTCATGCAGAAATAAATATAATGAAATCGGATTTTAAAAAACTGTAAATAATTTTCCTATGAAATATTTTAGTCATTTAATGGAACGATGACTTAAGTGTCAAAACATTTAGCTTTAAACTAGTAGGTCATAGGTTCGAATTCCTATTTCATCTATTCCGGTTTAGGAAACTGAGCAATATTCCTATTATTTAGATGGATAGTGACTAAAAGTTCAGTTCATAAAAAAGTATTATAAAGAGCCATTTCTGTAAAGTAATATTATTTGTCTGATATTCTGTTAGTTGTTTGAAGACTTTTCAGGTTTGAATAGCTATACTTCAAGACATCTTAAATTAAATTCTTATGTATAAATTTATACTTCACTTAAGAATCAGTTTTTTTTCATAAGCATTTAATTTTGATTTAAACGATTTTGAACTCTTTTAACTGATCATTAATGTTGACCAGTTTAATACTTTACCATCTATTGTCCAGATATTATTACTTGTGTGTTGAATAATTTCATAGAACACTAATAATACTTCTTGCTGTTTTGTTTTTAATTCACTTATTATTTAAACTATTATTTAGCCAATTTGGAAAGCTGCTAGGGCTTCAAGCGCTGCACCGACATATTTTAGACCTTGTGGGCGTTTTTTGGATGGTGGATTAATTTCAAATAATCCAACACTAGATATTTTAACAGAAATTCAAGAATTACAACTTTTACAACGTTTAAAAGTAAGTCATTTATATATATATATATATATATATATATATATATATATATATATATATATATATATATATATATATATATATATATATATATATAATTTTGATTGACGGCCGAACTAAGTTATTTGTTTTTAATCTTAAATATGAAATAGTCTGCTATGAATGGGCCCAGTGAGGACCCAAATGCGATATCAACTCGTTGTCTATACGTTTGTTTGTTAAACCTGAAATGGATAATAAAGGTATGACGTATCAATAGCTCTTTCAAGTGGTTAGTCGGGATGTCTACATCTATACTATTGACATCAAGATATTCACTAATGTGGTATATGCTGCTTCAAATTTCTTGAATAGATGCAATTGCGTAACTTGATAATAAATTTGTTTAAAAGTGACCCGTGCACTGAACTTCGTATTTTTAACGTTTAAATTAAATTAAAATATTTAATTTTTATTTATCTTACATAGTCACTAAATTTGGCTATTTTCTGTTATTTCTGTTGTCGCGTTCGTAATACCCGCTTATAATTGGGAACGGGAGTCACTGCGATTCCTATAACACAAATTGATAACATAAGGGCTAGCACGAGTGAAAATTTATTAACTCTCCAAAAACACGCCTTACAATTCATCCAAAATTACGTCATCAATAAACCAAATACATCCATTTATAAACCGGTTTTACACTCATTTGATGAGTCGTTAGTAAACATCATATAAATGAAAAAATGCACAAGATTTCTGTAAAACGTATACGAAATTCGTACAGAATGATATGGAAAATATAATTGTCACACTGGGAAAAAGTTTACACCTGTCATACTGATCAAAATTGACACTTAATGATTACGAAACATATTAACCTAAAATAATGGAGACGTAAAATCGCCTTTTTAACCCAACTTGTCATTTCTTTAACTCATATCCAAATTGTTTAATATCGTTTAGGGATCTCACTACTGAGTTTTATCGACCGATAGTTTGTTTCTCCCTGATTATCCTGAGCTTTCTCTTAGTTAAAGATACATAATCAAAAGAGACAGTAATCTATATTTCTAGGTTAGAATAGCTTTGCTGCAATTAGTTGGGTTAATCAACTCTGAATGCGATGATAAATTGAAGTACTTATGTATTGCAAGTAGTGAATGTTAAGAGACGAAGAGATGGATAGGGTTACTGTGATAAGTTAGGGTAGGTGAATTAACAAGACTCTGTGTGAACCATAGTAATAAATCGACTTAAAAACTGGCTCCCCAAATGTACTGAATTCCAAATGGGAAGAAACTTGTCAACAAGCCATGACTGCAGTCTCAAAGGAGCTGAAACTCCTCATGAGGTTTAAACATTTTCCGGACGGCTTCACAGTCTAAGATCTTATTTCGCAGACTATTCAAAGGATATGACTGTATGAACTAACTAAGAAGTTTTTTCAGCTTAAACAGTTTAGCAATTACAACATATAATCCACACTGTTACTGCTAAAAATAAAAGTGTGGGTCTTTTACTACTCAAAACGTTTAGTAATTATCATATATTTTAAAGTAAGACTCATTCTTTTAACATTTTAGAATAAACCTATAACTCCTATAGCAGTGGTTGTTTCTCTTGGGACTGGACGGTTGCCTGTAATGCCTGTAGAGACAGTGGATGTATTTCGTCCACAAAATATTATGGAAACATATCGATCTGTACGTGGTTTCGGATTTCTTGGTCGTATTCTGGTTGAAATTGCAACCATGTCAGATGGTGAGTTGTTCGATAGCTTGAAGAAAAAATCAAATTTCATGTGAAACTAGTAACTGTGACATAGTTAATTAACTGTAAATAATGGTGCATCAAAATAAAAAGCGACACAAACAAATCACCCACAAAAGAGTAGGCAAAGAAAATTAGCGGGTAGTAGTTTTAGATGTATAATTCGTTTGTTTAAGCTCCCGAGGGTTTAATCAATAAACCACACGTTCTAAATCTGTTCCACCTACTTCACAATAGGATAGGGCTATATGTGTATATACCACTGGGCTATACTCGTCCACTCTACCACTTACTCGAATAGCAATTTACCAGACAGTAGTTTTGTGACAATTCCTAACTGGTTGTTGATAAAATCATTTAGCTGTATGGTAAAATATGGAAGCTGAAGAAGAGTCAAATAAATTTCATTTTGACCGTAAACTATAAATGTTTATTATTCATAATAACAAAAAGAGCTACTAAAAAGTATGATGACTGTCGTATTATTTCTTTGATCAGTTTGCAAGAAATAAATCTTACGTCTCGAAATGTTCAAGAGCTCATATTCATGATCTTTTATTTACTGATTCAGGATTTTCAACTCATTTGTGACTTTATGAGAAACCTATTCATCCAAGAATTTTGTTACTTCTTAACTCTTAAAATCCGTTTAAGACTAAATATTTGTCGAGCTTAGTTTAGTTTATTATTATTATTTGCATGGTTATACCGAATAAATTTGGTTTGAAAGCATCGGGCCTCCAAATGCCCTAGTACGGTCGAGGGTAGGGATATTTAGTTCTCACATAGCCACGTGTATACAACCACTGCCAGGGAAGTCCTACTCACTGCCTTCTCGTGGTATTACTGTTGTTTATCTAATTGAGAGGACGAAGAGAAATGTCCAGTGCCTTAACCGGGTCGGTGAATATGGAGAATCCACCTAGACAAGTTGGAAAACCCTAATTCCAAACCAATGGTTCACATGAGCTCCAGGATTCAGAGAACAAATTGCGTATGAACCAATTATTCGCCACCGGCTACCATGGAACTGCACCTCCTTGCTTTGTTCCACTGCCTTGTGGATCAGACATTTAGGTCGAAGGCTCCGGGTGTGACTCCCTAAGAAAACCACCTACTTCGGTTTGAGCACCCTAGCAGTATCACAGCCCGCACACAAATCAAGTGACTTGTGTGGCGCATATATATTCGGTACTCCTTTGTACCAATATTTATGTGTTCAAATAATAAATAGTATTAATAATAATGGAAGTATTGGAATCGTTTGAAAAGTAATAAGAATTCACCATTTCTCCTTGTGGCTGGCTGATTTAAAGTAGTGCATAGTCCGTCTTACTTTTACTACCGAAGTCAATGCATTCAGTCGTCACGACAGCAATTTCATCGTCAATATTTTCAGTCTCTAACACTTGGTGCCTTTATATCCAATTTTATTCAGGGTTGAAACTTTTGGTTATTAGTTTCTAAGCTGATAAATCAATGGTAGCTATGGTGTTGAAAAGCTTAAATATCTCAGGTCTAATCCTAAAATGATTTAAGCTTGCTTATGTTTCAGTAGTAATGTCTTATTACTTATTGGAAACTTAAACATGTCAACTCGATATTCTCCCAACCAGCAGATATCGACGCAAAAAAAACCTTACAGCAACCAAACAAAGACATGAAGCTAATTTATACTGTCACTAACCGTTAATTTGAGTATTATTTGGGTTTTGGCGGAAATGGATCGCAAATTTCATGGAAATCATGAACCGATACAAGTTTTATAACTACTAAAAATCTGGAAGAACTAGACGGCCGTCTCATCCCATCGTGGAACTCCTCAGTGGTGCCCATCCACAACCCGTATGTGGTAATTAAACTCAAGATCTTCGGTTTTGTACGCGAATGCCTAACCTCTAGACCACTGATCCGGCATCCATCGATATTAATTTCCAACGTCAACCAATTCATGATATTGTGCGACCATCATTTACTGTTTTCGGTGGGTAACGTCTTCAAACCCGACACGATTTAGCTCCACTGATGGCGGTTTCTCATTAGAACTCCGGAAATTTTTTCTGAAGCACATGATAATTGCCGTTATGATGTTTTGAAGATTGTCGAGTTTCAATGAAATCACAAAACGTACATTGCTTCCATGTTTTCAACTGTTATCTGTGATCGGTTCATGATTTTACAACCTCATATGGATGATGGATCATGATTATCCTATAAATCAGTGGTTGGAAATGGTGGAGATATACACTTTAAAATCACTAATTGTGACATAAATTTATTCCATCTCGTAGGATCCATTTAGACTTGAATCGTATGGGGAATTCATGTGAGAGACTGAAACACACTATTACGTGACCTTATCTTTACAGGCTTATTTAGAATATATATAAATCATTTTTTATTACACTTCAATCAAATGTAGTCCGTAACATAATAACGGCAATAAACAGTACGAAGTTAATCTTAAATAATTAGACATTGGGTAACTTGAATTTATCTAAGTAATCTGTAATATTTTACTTTACTTTATCTGCTTGTGTTAAGGATGTTACAGCCCTAAAAAACCACTTACTTGTCATGTTTACATTCTTAAATTTCAGTTTCTATTTTTTTGCACACTGAAATTTTCCTCACGACAGAGACCCTTCATTCTTACAAAGACTAGCAATACTACTTTCTTATTGATCTTTTATTCTTTTAGTATGCGGATTTTTCATTTTATTTTTATGGTCATTATAAACATATTTACATGCGTTTGGTGTTTGTTTGAATCAATGTCCTTTGATTTCTTCCAATAAATGTTTTCCACAAGGTTTATTTCGTAAGCCAAATGGGCGTAGTTGGAAGAGAAAGAAGTTTGTAGTATCTTCACATATCTGACTTTAAACTAACTGGTAGTTCTCTCAATCTAGTTCAATACATCAGTTTGCTTAGTTTAAGTGTATTTCAGAAAATTTAATTTTACTACTCATTAGGATTTTACAAATATATTCATTTGTATTTCCATATTGTTTATTATATAAACATTTTAATTGAAAAAATTATTTTGTAATTTTTAACATTTAGGTCGAGTCGTTGATCGTGCTAGTGCATGGTGTGGTTCACTTGCAGTACCGTTCTTTCGATTAAATCCTCCATTATCAACTGATATTAGTCTTGATTCTACTGATAGTAAAGAACTTTTACTAATGATTGTTGAAACTCAAACTTATTTACGTCGAGTTCACGAACGGATTGAACTGTTAGCTTCATTGTTGCAATAGGATATATTTTTATGTAGAAATTCACTTGTTTTACAAGTTATTTTTGAGATATTTATATAATGATTCGTTCAATATGACCATTATTATCAAATAATTTAATATTTTTCAGCATACATACTTCCGTCAAAGTTTACGGAAAGAAATAAGATTTCCTGCTAAAAGTTATTGTTCCAATTTTTGTTTATCTATTCTTGACCTTTGTTTTCTAATCATTTACAAAGCTTTCGGAATTTCTTTTTATATCTTTTATTCATCGTACAGAATTGATTTTATTTATACTTTGAGTAATAACATTTTAATATCTTATTTTGTGAAACAATTTACGTGATAATCAGTATGCATACATATAGACATACTGTTTCAAACTTTTCCCCATCAACTTATCTATTTTTTTTAAAAAAAATCTCGATTCCGATTTTCAATGATGGGGGAGAAACTGTGTATAATATTGTTTTGTTAATTATTAATTAGTTTCACCATAATAGTAGGTAGCTACCTGGGTGGATCTAATGATACAAATTCTTAAGTGATATGGTGTCTGAAAGTTGTCACATATTGAAGCATAGTGTTGGAAAACAAAATAAATTAGAACGAAGAAAGTCATAAAACATAAAATCCAAACTTATTTCTATGATAATGTTAACCACTATCAACTTTGAAGTAGTTGCGACCATGCTATTATCACCGTTCATGAGGTTCGCTCTATTGCTTAGGCTAGCGATTAAATGAACATGCACGTGTCACTGGACGGTCAATTTATTAAGTAGGTTCCAGAATGTTCGGTGGGCGAGTAGCTAGTGAGTATGTAGGAAATATCCAGTGCGGAATAACAATATAGTCACAAAAATGTATGTTAGTGAATAATTAGTCTCATAGAACCATCTCGGTAATAGATGACTCAAGCATAATAAAGGCGATCGGCCTAATCAAAATTAAAGGCATTCACAAGCATACAATAGGAAATGATATTAAAAACAAAAATGCGTGGAGAAAAATACAATGACAATATCAAACGAAGCGACATGCAAAAACTGGATAAGCTCGCTTTAAGAGGGGGAATTATTCCAGTGGTTTGTGAATGTCATAACGCGAATATAATAATATAATCCGCTGAGTGAGTGACATAAATTCTTGAATGTCACTTCTTACTATAGGTATGAACAATGATAATTATTTCACAAACTTAGGCGATATGACTTAGCAAACATACATACTTAGCAAACTTTTTCATGGGAAGCCCATGAAAATATTCCAATCAGGTTAGTCAGTAAAAACGTGGAACTTCGTATTTACGTACATCAGTCCGAGTTGTCATACCACAGAGATACAATTGCGTCTCAGATCCTGTAGTGGTAGGGGTAGTAAGAATATGAGCAGTAATCGGAAAGATTACGCTTTGAAGATGTTATTCAAGGAGTATAATCCAGTGAAATAAATTTGGAAAGAGAGACAGGGGGAATTCAAGAATTTAGAATTTGGGAGAACACAAAGAGTGGATGAACCTGAGCCACTGCAAACGATGTTGAGCCATATCATTCAAGGTCTCTAACCACCGGTCGCTATCATCCCACGGTCCCCAACCAGGTAGTCTGCACCTACCAACATGGCTCAGTCCACTTGTCAGTGACTTCGTGGATTTATGCCATGCCATGGTCTGGCCGCCCCTAGCTTTCTTCCAACCTACTCCAATCAGGTATTGTTGTATGAGACGATTTAACTGTGAGTCAAAAGCTTTCCGAGTTATTTTCTATAATTTCATATATATGTATATATTTATCAAGTGTTTTGGTCTTTTTCATATTACCCCAGTTCTAGGCTTTTACTTAAACCGTAATTTGTTGCTTTAGCATTTTCCACTCATAAACTAGAACCAATTGTGTACCAACTATTGGTTTTCCCATCGTTAATGTTGTTGTTCGGTGTTAATACTGTTAACTACTTGGTCTGCTATGTGGTCTAGTTTTGTTTTTATATAAATAAATGTTTGAAATATAATTATGATCTCGAACTTGTGGACATTGATCTTGTGCTTTTCCTCTTCGTTCGGGGCCAGTTAGTATTGGACCAGCCGTCAGGCATAGAGTGTCAGTTTTCTAAACCGTTACTTCAGGTCGTCTACGTATATTGGTTGGTTGTAGGATGTAACAGGTATCAGATAGATTTACGGCATATAACTGAACTTCACGATCATGACTAATATAAGGCAATAAATAACGCGAAAAGTAGGAACTGCGAGCCTGATAACCATTCAAGTTAGCATTTGACCTATGTTTGTGAGAGAGTTTCATGGCTGCGAACAAACGTGATGATACTGGTAGGAAATGTAAAGAAAAACAGTCGGACAGCAGGACAAATAGCTATAGACATTCAAAAAGAGGACTTATTTGTGTTTGAAGAAACTGATATGCTTAATCAGTTTTTCCGACTTGTCTAACTTTCTCTGGGTTAAACTGTCATTCAAGGGTGTACGGCTAAATTAAGAGAGCAAAGATTTCTGACCTGTAAATTGTAGCGAAGGAGAAATGGTCAGGATCAATCTAGCGAAGACCAAAGTAAAAGGTGAGAAACGCGCTAGTCAATTTCGAATATATTAAAAGAGAACGTGAAATGATTAGATGCAAAAATAAACCTTGTCTTGATCATTTATACTTATCATTTATTAATAACGTGGTCATAGTATAAGTTTGAATCTATTTGCAATAGGTTGTCTTGGAGGAAAGACGAAGTTGGCATAAAGTGGTATCATAAATCGAAGTATAACAGGGATATGAAATCCGACTGCTTTAGCGCGTTTGTTGCAAGGACGAAATTTCAGTCACGCACTCCCGAATTCGATAATTATAAAGACGGTAATAACCAATAAAGTGCGTATAATGTCGTAAAAAAATTTAAAATATTGCAGAAGTGTAGTGTTTGTATGAACTAGTGATTCCTTTGTACTTGATGACTGCCTGATTTCGAATTCTATCTGCTGTGAATCGCGCTATTTCGGGAATTGCTCATTCGTACAATAATTCAAATACTTCTAATCATCACAAGAAGATACCTGTAGTGACTCACATTTATCACAAGAACACGACTGGTTTGATAAAAACAATTATTATTGTAACCAACTGTACCAGTGTCTGTTTAACTGTGCTAAAAGCATCCATTATTCGCACACTTTGATTGTGACTTCGCGCGAATTCGGTTACGTTCTGTAACCAAGCTTGTATCCAGGCACGATTTCGGTATCCTTTCGATACCACGAGATCGCGACTTGGTCCATTAACTACCTTCTGATATTTGGCTTCCGCGGAACTTTGTGGATTTACTTGGCACGCGTTTCTTGGTAGTGGTGTACATAGTTAATCTCGACTCGACTCCACGCTACATACCCAAGAGAGATACTGAGTAGTAATCTTTTCAATTGGTATAACCTATAGAAACTCGCATGCAATTGAGTTTCTTCACATTTAATTCGGTTAAGTAATTTTGTTAACTTACTAACGAACTGAGTCATCCGTGCAACAACAACTTATCTATATCATTGTATCTTTATTATTGTTGCGAATGTATGAATATGTATGCTTAGGCATTGCTTACTGCCTACACATTTATTCACCCTGCTAGTCCTACTACTAACCGCTAAATTGATTCGATGATTCATTCATTTATTTATGTATATATATGTCCATGTTATTCATATTCACTGCTCTCTCTCGCTTAATTGTACTCGCTTACTCGTACTCATATTCGCTGACTCACTCGTTCGCTCGCTCGCTTGCCTGCTTGCATTTCGGCACAACTCTTTCATGCTTGTTTAACGTGCCTTTAATTTTGTATATCTGTGTGGGCTAGTCTTAAGAAAAACAGCCAAAAGTATTTTCTCCGTATTTGCATATGAGCATACAACAACGGATATGACAGAGTGAATGTTCGGTTAGTTACTGTACCTTGCTCGAAACATTATGTTGAATCTTATTTTGAGAAACATTAATTCTAAAAACACTAATTTACTAGTAAGTGAGATAAGCAAAGACTATGGACCACCAAAGCTAGCTTTTCGAACAAGAGATATTATCTTAACGTGACTTGTATTTCTCAAACGTTTTCTGTGTCCTTACACAACGAGAGCACCATTTTTGATACAAAGAATCTATACTGAGCTTAACGTTCGCTAGATTACTTTTCCACTAAAATTTATTTGAATTACTAGTTAACTGTAGTCTTGACTTAACTCACTACTCGGTTTAAACAGATTTTTATGTAAAAATGCTAGTTTTAGTTTCAGTAAATTTCAAGTGTTTATAGTACTTGGTTTGATCTGTCTAATCCGTTTTGAATACATTACTTCTTTATGCGATAATGAGATTTTATTCCAGTCTCGTTAACAACCTGTATTTCACTATGATCACTGAGAACAATTGTAAGCGACCTGAATGCCTTTTTGCTATCAACTATTGTATGCAGTGTGACAAATGCGAAGGCTCTTTTCACAGAGGGTGCACAGACCTTCCAGTAACTGCTTACAACAGACTTGGTAAGTCAGATCGCAAGTAGGTACGCGGCACATGCAACATAAGTGCTGTGAATTTGCTAAGCAACATCATCATTCTCTTGACAATCCTGAGAAAAAAATGTCGGCAACCCTGTAACAAGGCAGTCTTGAAACGGACAAATAAACAAAGGCTCGCAGCAAAGTAAAGTGGAGGGTCTTTGTCAGCATAGGTATCGATTGGATACGCATCAACACTAGCGACGATATGATGAAAATGATCACCGCCATAAAATCGACAGTCCTACCCACTCTCATCAGATTTGTGTCCTCAAGCACAGGCTCCTTAAGTGCAATTGTGGTCCCCAAAAATTCTGTTGACAACTGGACATAGGTTTGACAAGCTTATTTTGTAAATAGTTTTTAATATTATCTGTATTTATTTTGTCAATCTTTCACTGTCTGTATATTTATCATTAAATGATTGTGCCTGTTGTTTTAGTAAATGACCTTGAACACTCTTTCTGTTGTGATACTGACATAGCGTGACATACTCTTTCTGGCTAACAAATACACTACTACGCACACATTTACTCGTTCTGTCTTCATTTGTGATTGAGTTAATTGAAGTCAAAATCAAATTCTATCTACATTTATAGACTGTAATTGGAATATATCACATCCTACTTTGGATTATATCACTGGAGAGTTCGTCAACCAGATTGGAATTACCAAGCATTTATTATTGTGGTTACTTAGTACCAGACCAAAGCCGAGCACACATCAATTTGGTGAACTTAAGTAAAGTCTCAAATTTCTATTGTGTTTGTAATAATTAACTTATATATATTAACATTACTATTGATCTTTATTACTTTGTTGATACGTTTTGCGTTTATATATCGTCTGGTCCACCAC